ACTAAAATATGTATAGAATATTTGTAGTTTTCCCTTTTCCAGAGTACCATATAAATGGAACCCACACACTACTGTGCCTTTTGTGCCTGGCTTCTTCCATGTAATGAAGCTGTTGAGATTCATTCATGTTTTTGCCTGTACCAGCAGTCTGTTCCCTAAGTAGTGCCCTGTGGTGTGGTTGTAGTTGTTTATCTGTTCACTAGTTTATGCACATTTGAGTTTTCCCGTTTTTGATGATTATGAATAAAGCTGCAATAATTATTTGCATATAGGTATCAGTGTGGACATGTTTTAGTTTCTCTTGGGTAAGTGGCAAGAGTAGGGCTGCTGGGTCATAGGGCAAGTGGAAGTTTTGTTTGGTAGGAAACTGTGAACCGTTTTCCAGTGGCTGTGCCATTCGGCAACAGTGCGTGAGCATTCCAGCTGCTCTGCGCCCATGCCACCGCTTGCTATTAGAGTCTTTAAAACAGTTAGCCATCCCAGTAGTTGTGTACTGGTATCTCATTGTGGTATAGTTTGCAATTCTTTCATAGCTAAATAATGTTGAGCATCTTTTCATATAATAATTTTTTTACAAAACATCCAAATGTGAAATCATAGTGCTTTTTAGAAGTAGACAATTTTTGGCACTTCTTTTATTTTTGTTTATGATTTTAGCCATTTCATTTTGCTTTTGCAACCATAGAGAGGTGGTATTATACGAAGGGTTTCTCTGTTGTGTTTATGTGAAATAGCACCCAGACATGTTGTTCCGGGCCCGGACTTGAGCGGCTGCATGCACGGTGTGTGGTAAGGAGTAGCGTCGGGAGATGGAGGGCCACTTTCAGCTTAGACTATTCGGCATGGAATCCAAGGCCCCGCCTTTCTTCTCCAGTTCTGTCTTCTGCTCTCCCAGATTTCGTCGAGTCATACTGACTGCTTGGTCTCAGACCCCAAATTAAAATCTGAGTCTCTTCTTTGCCTTTCTCCACATATCTCTCACCAAATTAGGTCGACTCAGACTTTTTGGAACCTGTGGCCTCCTTTCTATCAGATTCTTAGTACCTTGTGCCTGGACTAAGTTAACAGTTGCTCTGCGTTCTCATCCATTCTACAAATTGAATTTGGGTCATTTTCTAAGCATCTTTGAAGTTCTCTGAAATGTGTAACTTTCTAGAACTCTAAGCCATGAAGATGCTGTCCTCAAGGATGTCCACACTTCTCCCTGCCTCCCCACTCCCAGGTCCCTCCGCTGTGCATTGTTCTGTAGAGTCATTTCCCTGCGGCCTCACTGCCGCCTCCTTTCTGAATCCGCTTCCACGGGTCCAAACATCATGCATCTTTTAAAGCCGGTGCAGTTATTTTTCCTGCTGCTTGAAGTCTTTGAATCCAGGATCTGAAAACTTACCCTTATAGCATTGGTCTGTACTGATTGGTATTTAACTAGGCACTAAATTTGTTTAAAACGTCTTAGAACGAAGCTTTAGCGTATTCGAATAGGGCCTCCCCCCTTCCATTTACAGAGGAGCCACACACGCCGTCCATATCCACGTACTGCCTGCTCTGAGCGGGATGCCGTTTCATCCACAGCGGGGATGAGGCATAGCGATGCCCTGGGAGCTTCTCGTCTGCCAGGGGCTCGCACCACAGACACGCCATTGCCAGGCTCCCAATCATGTCACTGTACTACCTCATTTCTCAGACATTTTTATAGGACACATACTAACAGAAATAGTGTAGATAAAAGAATACTAGATGCTATAAAGAGGAGGGGCCGTAAGAGGAGATAATCGTGTCCAGAACTTCTGAGAAGATAATGTCCACTACGATTTATGTTGAGTTTGTACCTTTCTGGCAGCCCAACAAGAAGATAAAGACCTTTATATACACATTGCTTCTTACTTGATCTTGTCCCTGGACTTTGGACGCCACCTCCTGTGGAGGGCTCGCCGTGGACCCCTCCTCGGGGTTACGGCCTGCTTTGACCAGCTTCCTAGCAGACATCCTCACTCAGATGCCTGGGGAACCAGAGCTCCTGGCGCTTTTCTCCTCGCACCCTGCTCCTTCCCAGTGTCCCTGTCAGTGAACAGCACAGATAGCTGTGCTTGTCCTCGTAGAAACCCAAGCAGTGCTGCACAGTTCTCCTCTCCCTCGCCATCCAGCCCTCAGTACGTCCCCTGCTCGGATCCATACATCTATACGTCGCCTCTCAGATGGCCGCCTGATTCCATTCCTGTTTCCCTGAAACATCTCTTCACAGCAGCCACAGTGATCTTTTAAAGAAATAAGCCAGGTTATACCACTCTCTACTAAAACCCTTCAGTGCCATCTCTTTGAAAGACGAGTAAAATCCAATTTAAACTATGACTGACAGGGTCCTCTGTCATCTGGCCCCTCCTGCCTCACTGACTATCCCATGCCACGCACCTGCCACACTCTAGCCTTGTGTGTCCACTTACTGCACTACACCCTGTGGGCCTCTCCTCTCTGCTCTTTTCGAACACACCAAACTGGACCTTTGCATTTTTTGTGCCCTCTGCCAGAAATAGACGTTATTCATTCATGCTGCGTTTCATTACTGAGTGCCTCCTATGGGCCAGGCATCTTCTAGGG